AATTCCACATCTCATCAATAAATAAATTCTTTTGGTCCGAGTATCAGGATAGACATTAATACTGAATAAATAACAACCACACTGTTCGGTCTAGAGATCTATATTTTCTTGTAGGTTTAATATTGCCACGCTGCACAAGCGGCAAGCGTGCTTTCTTTGGCAAGTCTTAAAATCTGTCGTCACCATACTTACCCGTGTGGATGGTTAGGTGCAGACGTGGTTAGCTAATGGGCATACTTCGAAACCCGGACTCGGACTCGAAGAAAATCCGGACTCGAGAAAAACCCGGACCCGGACTCGAAGAAAATCCGGACTCGTGTTTAACAAAACTCGGACTTGACTTTTGAAAACCCGGACTCGAAATAGACAAAACCGGATTCAAAACAAGGACTATATATCATGCTCTCAAATAGTTGGACAAGAACGCCACTGGAAACACGTTTATTTTCTCAATTTCGTTAAGATAAAGTCCATAAACACGAATTGAACACCCGCAATTATTCCGTTTACCAAAAATAGTAGGAAACACATCACAATGAAAGCAACAGCCGCACCCGCGGCCGACGGTGAAATTCGCGTTGGATGGTTGGCGTAAATTTGATATTGAGACTTTCTCGTTAGGCAATGCGTTCATCAATTGCCCCATATGCCTTGCATACAACCGCGGCTCGATACTGACAATGAAGTTTGACAATAAATCAAGTTAACGTTATTTTGAGAGTCAACAATCGACATGCTACCCTCTAGCTATATTTGTAGATCGTTGTGCATCAATACATTTTAGTTTTTAATAACTTAGTAAGTGCCTAAATGATTTGATTCCAGTATATCTAAGTGATTATTTTGTTAACAGCAGAAGAATAAAAATATCGAGAAAAGGTAAAAAGAGATCATCGTTCATCATGTTACTAATTATTAATAATAATAATATATTATTATTATCCAAAAAACCTTTGCATTTTCGTACACAGAGTCCTTGTTTTGAATCCGGTTTTGTTTATTTCGAGTCCGGGTTTTCAAAAGTCAAGTCCGGGTTTTGTTAAACACGAGTCCGGATTTTCTTCGAGTCCGGGTCCGGGTTTTTCTCGAGTCCGGATTTTCTTCGAGTCCGGGTCCGAGTTTCGAAGTATGCCCAGCTAATGATCTCCGGATTTGAGTTACTTGGATTCAGGTCCGAATCACGTGGACCTGTCCATTCAGGACCTGACCACCGAACGTCTGCACCTTATCACACCGAACTTAGTTCGATGGAAATTAAATTGAAAATCAATTGTAGTCATGAAAAAAAAAATTGCTTCTTCTCTGAGCAGATAACCATTGCAGTTGGCTACGAATTAGCTAATGACCTGAGAGTCTGCTTGGCACTCTCTACATCCGATATCCTGAGGGCACATGTCGTACCCAGACTGCGCGCGGCTCCTATGATATTAACCTTGGTTACTATGTAACCTCATTATAAGTTGAATACTGAAATCTGACCCAACTTGCTTGAATTGTAATTCGACACCAGATTATAGAGTACAGCGTCACGATATAAATATTTGCAAAGTTGCAATTTTAAAACGCTACAAACACGCTCCTTTCCATAGGCGTACCGGGCGGGGGGGGGGGCGGGGGGGGGCGGTAGCCCCCCCAGTTTTTTGGGCAGTCGGGCAATATTCGATCAACAGTCGGGCAATTTTGGTTTGCAATAAAAAAAAATGGGTCAAATTCTGTCAATTTTGTCTAAAATCAAGTCAATTTTTTGGCAAATTCTGTGATTTTTCGAAAATTTGTGTTATGCTCCGAAAAAATCTGTTGTCCGGAAAATTTTTTTGACCCCTAAAATGGTACACTGACCGAAATTTTTTTGGCGACGGGGGGGGGAGGTCGCCAAAATAATGTTTCCGGAATAAATTTTTTGGTACTAGTCGGGCAGAATCCCGAAAAGTCGGGCAATTTTCTTTCCGCCCCCCTAATTTTTTCCTTCCAGTACGCCCATGCTTCTTTCCCACCCCTCTCACAGCTACAATTAAATTTACCTCCCAGAATCTGGGAGGCACGTGACCAGCCGCAGCCAGGGTCTCTCCAATCTCGTTCCCTGAGCATGTCCGTTCGCAGGTTAAGGGTGGGCATAGCTCTGGAGAAATCGAATTGATTCACGTTGAATTTCCAACGTGAGTTCTACGCATGCTCGGCAATGTTGCAAAATATAAATAAAGTATTTAGAATTTCGCGTCGAAAATTTGATACATTTTACACTGAAATCGAATTGAAAACAACTAAAAATTCTGGGGGAAATAATGAATATGTACGAAAGCTTCGGTTGGATGGAGATACAGCTACCTGAAAAATACAAGGAGAACATCGACGTTTGAAGCGAAGGCGCTTCGATTTGTACAGTCTGTTAGTGTTTGTATACATCGTACTTGACCTTTTATATACTGTCATACCTATTAACACTACGTATACCATAAATTCTGACAGGAGAGTTAGTGTAAATTTTAAAGCATAAAGATATATAATACTTATTATTGAGGAAATTATATTTATCAGCAAAGGTCAAGTACGATGTATACAAACACTAACAGTCTGTTAGTTCGAGAAATTCCAAATATTTTGCTGCAAATGCCAAGCATGCGTAGAACTCACGTTGGAAATCCAACGTACTATCTGCCGTTAGCCAATCACAGGCCTGCATCAATTCGATTCTCCAGAGCTATGCCCACCCTTAACCTGCGAACGGGCATGCTCGGGGAACGAGATTGGGGTCTCTCCCAGGTGACAGAAGGAGAGACCCTGGGAACGAGGTTGTTTTTGCGTTTGAAGCCGCAAATCTTTCTCTCACGTATATACAATGTTTTATCTGTTTCGTTGCCTTCAATTAAAACAATTGCGGTAAATGATATTTGTTTTTGCGATGATACCGATGTTTTACCGATGTATGAAGTAAATTCCTGCATCGTTCCTAACTCTCAAATAAAAACCGCTTTGAGGGACAGAGTCTCTATAAGTCTCAGACTTATAGAGCAAGTCTATGGTCGTCCTTGAAAAATGATATATAGTTTGAAAGAAACAGTGTGGCATACGACTATATATATATGAATCATATCGAAGTCGTTAAGTGAACTTTAATTTTATTCACTTCGAAAACGTCAGCAGAATATACAGTTTTTATCTAACAAAACGTATTAATCTTTTAAATTTGTCTCAAATTTGTAGCTTATTTAATTAGTTGAAGATAGAATGAAGATGTTAGTATTATAATTTCATTTTCCCTCACTGCGTTCGTCTGAATATTAAGAAATATTTTCATACTAATAGACAATTCCCATTATAGACTAATTTTAAAACTAGGAAAGGAGATGGAAATAAATCACCACAGCTACACAGCCAGAAATCTCACAGGCCTGTCGCAAGCTGTTGATTTTACCGGCTTGCGGCAAGTTGTCAACAAGTCGCGACAGGTCTGTTGGTTTCGTCAGGCGGTAACAGGCTTGCGGGAACAGGTCTGTCGCAAGCTGTTGACAACAGAGCCGTAGCACAGAATAGATACACAACCAGAAGTGTCACTCAGACGATAATTTGTCCGAAATTTTACGAGTGCTCACGTGAAAATACGCCATCATATGACGCCATCCTGGAGTGCACACGGAAGTTTTTCATAGGAAAACATAGGTACAAAGTGCCGTGTGCACTCCAGGATGGCGTCATTGCACGTAAAAAAATTTCGGACGTTTTCCTTCAGTCAAAACACATAGAAGTGTCCCTTCTGGTCCGGTATGTATTCTGCGGCCGTAGCGACTTGTTGAAACAACCCGCCACAAACCTGTTACTAACAAGAGATAACAGGTCTGATCACAGAATAGAAAATTGACGATTGTTAACACTTATTCTTTCTGATTATTACATTATGAGCAGCGGATATATCTAACATGTATTTAACAATCTTAATTTGCATTATAATAATTTATTTTTATGCCAACAACCGCAAAGTTCCAAAACGTTGATGAGTTTGTCAACATGATACAACTGCATGTATACCAATTATATCGTCTCAATTAAAATATTATGAATTCTTGTTGCCACCATATTCACATTTTCGGATAAATCACATTCCTAGTTACCACCGTGGCCGTGAGGGGGGAAGCAGAGGGGGCAGCTACCCCCCCCCATTTGATGTTACTATGAGTGTATATCCACACCGGGCAGGCTGAAAAGTTAGCCTGACCACGGTGGCAATCGAACCCGCAACCTTTGGGATACTATAGTCCAATGCTCTGCCAACTGAGCTACGAGGCCAAGTTTGTTCGAATGTGTGGTATTTCGGAACTACGTCTAGTACTTTCGATACCAATGTGTTCTATGATCATGAATTCATGATATATTTTTAGTGTGTGTTTTGTGTACTCAGGTGAATATAATGTTTTTGATGTTACTCCGAGTGTAACTATCTTGAATTCCTTTACGACAATCATACAAAATGCAAATTATAAATTAAACTATAAAAATCATCCAAATATCAAATATTTATTGATCTCATCTTGGACTGCTAATTAAAAATCTGCTAGATTTTGGCAGATCAGGTGACCAGCGTCTACCAGGGTCTTTTCTCCCCTCGCCAAGAGGAAAGACCCTGGGTATGAGGTTGGAAATAAAACAGTTCGTTTTAATACTTTTAAAAATAAAACAGTTCGTTTTGTGAAATTTTAACCCCAAATGCAGGAAATGGGATTTTATGGACTTAATATTTCAAAATTTTTTGGAACCCCCGAAATTGCCTCGCGTCTTCGGCACTCGTTTTCCTATACCACAATTCCACCTAAGCGACAACACTGCCCACCAACCCCAAAATCCTGCGTACGGCCCTGGTTACCACTCATATGATATGTGGGCATATAAAGTGGAACCAAGATAAAGTAATAGATAAAATATTTAAGTAAAAAATTTAAGTAATAGATAAAACATGAGCAGCCGATCTGTATCTGATATACAAACTCGAGTTAACTCGAGCCGAAGAAGGCGAGAGTTTGTATATCAGATACAGATCGGATGCGAATGTTTTATCGTACTTAAAAAATGACCCATCTTATGAGTTCATTGGCGAAGTAATTTTAAAAATAAACATTGTCTAAGCCGAGAAAATCAAAGCTGAAGTTTATGTAAATCAGGACAAACCTTTATCCGATTTACAAACATTGATTAAACATTCATTTCTTTTGTATTTTCCTCGTGAATTATTAATGATTTTTTAAATTATAATATTATGTGAGTGAATTGTCAGTGTCCATGCATTTTCCCCCTGGCTTCCAAAGCAGCCAGACACAGTTGTACGTATACGTTTGATCCAAATACTTGTGACTGTGAGGGTCTGACATTGACGTAAAGACTCGTAAAAGACTTCTTGAGGACTGCAATTTATGTACAGATGACGGTGTGAAGGACTGGGGCTTTTTTACCAGCAAATAACTAAATGTTATCGTTCAAAGTTAAATACATTGTATTCGCCACCAATGGTGTATCATGCAGTAATATTTAACGAATCTCGCGCAGACTCCCAGACGAAAAAAAGTTGCCTAGTTATTCTATTAGCGTACAGTGCCGTTGTTGCTGCGATGAAAACTTCATAAAATATACGTGCAATTCATTATATCATTCTTACCATGCAATTGATTGGAAAAGTTTAATTAGTTCGTTGATCAACTTGATCAATGAGTTGAGGAAGTCTACCTTGCGTCCTTGCGTGCATCAATGGCTTCTCTTTTCATTTCGTTTAATAGTCGATCCATTGAACGCTCACGCAGGAAGAGTAAACTAGATGAATTTCAAGTTTTAACGAACTTTGGAATGAATTCATGCAACTTCTTTAAACACTTTCATATGAAGAAGAACTCAGGCACAAGATCACAGATCTCCTCCCAACCTCGATTTGCATATTTATTTCACGTATAAAAAGTGTTTGAATATAATAATAAGTATATTTATTAATAATATGAGCAGAATTTTCCTTGTCTCAAATAATTACTGACAATATAATTTATCACTGAACTAAAAGATCTGGAAGGCTAACTATAGAAGGTGAAATTTGTACCAAAGAGGCCAGTTGCATAAAGGCTAAACAACTTTTTAACTACTAGTTTTGTAATTGTGGTTAAATGGTAGTTAACTCTCAAATATGCGATTCTGATTGGTTAACTTTTGCACTAATTGTAGTTATAATAACTTTAATTATACAACCAGCCCCAGTATGGGCTGGTGAAACATTTTTGTATATTTTTAAATATAACACAGTTTTCAGAAATTAATGAACCTTCAACTCAGGTACCGGTGGTTCTATAGAGTATAGTACTTGCAAAGTCCTAGTTACACTCATTCAAATTTAAACTTCGTTCGATTCAATGTTACAGTGGCGTAACGTTATATCAGAGGGCCCCCGGTTCACAATTTTCGAAGCCCCCCTAGTAGAGGTGCCAAAAGCACGAATTAAGCGCCGTATATGCACGAGTCTTCTAGGGGGTCAGGGCATGCTCACACGGAAAATTTTTGAATCTAGAGCCTCTGAAATGCCATTTCCTGGACTTGGAGGAGGATTTTACACAATTCTGATGGTCAGAAAACGACATTTATCACTTATTTACGGAGACCGAGGGAAACAGTGTCTTTTGTGGACCCGAGACCTTTGTGGACTCGAGGGTCCACAAAACACACTGCTTTCCCGAGGTCTCAGTAAATAAGTGTTTTATTATATATCAATAGTCAAAGAAACAACAAATTAAAGAACAAATGAACGTAAATACATGAAATATTTTATTGTTAAAACGTTATATTAAACACTGGCTACACTGTAGTTACTTAAAGCGAAAGTTTTAATTACGTACTAGGCATGTCCAAAGGTCGCATCTTCACGTGATGGCGCACGTGATTTTTTTTGTTATTCGCCGGTCGATAACGTATTATCTCCCTCTCGCGCTGTTGCGAGGGAGACAGCCTAATTTCGTCACTCTCACGTGATATGCTCTCAACCAATAAAACACTAGAAAAATGCGACTTTGACTATTGATATATAATAATGTAACATATCAGAGGCCTCCCTGGCCAATGTTTTGGTTCAACAGCCTGAGCCTGGGGATCTCCATTTGGCCCATTGGGGTTGGGGGCCCCCGGGTTCGCCCGGTCTGAACCCATAGTAGTTAGGCCACTGCAATGTTAATCAGCTAAGTGGAAACTTCCATCAAACTTCGAACCTTTGAGAATTTTTGTGAATTCTGGATCGGGAACAACGCCAAGCGGGTTCTTTGTAGAATGATCTTGAAACCAGAATGATACTTCACTTGTTACAAGTCTAAAAAACTGTCTATATGTTCCTTCATTTTGAGGCAAAGCCTCGTGCGGTGTTCTATCTGTGATCCAGTAGAGTGTATTTGCAGCCATAACTTCACTTTCTGGAGGTAAAAATTCTCTCAGATGTTCAATATCGCCATGAATACCAACAGCATCAGGGCAGTTTCCTTCAGATCGTAGGATTTGACAATCCCAAACTGTACAAGAGTTTTCCACATTTGATGCCATGTAAATACCACCTTCTAAATTCAAATCGCATTTTGCAACTCCATGACCCCAGAAACCTCGATCAAATGCAGGGAAGTGTTGAGCTTCTCCCTTGCTGCGTTTTAATAACACAACACCTGGGGACTCGGTGTGTATGCCAGCTCTTCTCTGTGATGAACCTGTAATATTTAATTTTTATTACAAAATTATAGATAGTAGTAAGTAGTGGGTAATGGCCACCAGAAATATACTTTCAATTGGTGGTCAGCATATATAAATTTAGAAGATTGAATGGGCCTTATGCGGCGTAATGCCACAAACACGTCAAAAAAATGAGTGAGTGCATGGCATAGAAAACAGAGAGACATTCAAAACAATGGAAAGGGAAAGGAATATTGCAAAACCTCCGACAAAACTGCAATTTACACTCATATTTGGCTGTTTTTAGTCTTGTTTAGGACAAAATTGCAATCATGGTGGGGTCCTCACCCAATTATTTTCGCCACTGGCTAAGTGCCATACAAACTACAAAGGGACCATTGAAGAGAACATTTGTAAAGGTAAGAAGAAAGTGTCAAAAAGTAGCGCTTTGGAATGATTGCCGCGTTCCTTTCTACGCTTAAACGAAAAGTGGCCAAGTATGAAAAATAAATAATGATGGAGTGATTTAGAATATATAACATTCCTACCTTGATCAACATAACTTTCTTGGATGGTAAGATATCCTATTTTACCTACATCATTTTTCACGATACACTGCCGTATAATCTCGTCCCAGTATGATCGCAAATATTCCGGAAGTTTCGTATTATGAAACTGCTTCTCCATGATAAAAGGCATCATATTAATGTCTATATTGTGCGGAGTTGGGAACCGCACTATCCAGTTAAGATCTGACGTAGTGTGATGATAGCCCCATTTTAGTTTCACATAACTCAAGTTACTATCATCACTTAATTTAATACACGATTTCCAGTATGTTACAATATCACTCCATATTGTCTTTAAAATGTAATGCATTCCCAACAGTAAATGAAAAGGACTTTGAGAATCATAGAGGCCTTGCAAGATTGTTCGTGCTACAGGATTAAGTACGTTCATCTCATCTCCATTGGTCGCCATTTTCTTTGTTACTAAAACTATCAACGAAACAAAATAGTGAATTGCATTGTGATTCTGGTTTCCATATCGCGAGTCCCATATCAAGATGTACCGAGTATTGATGTCTCTGCATTTAGTTAAAACTTATTAGCATACAACACGCTATCTCGGCAAAATACTGTAGATCCAGACTAGATCATATGAACTATAGCTCCCAATGTTTATTGTATATTTCTTTGTCCTATTAATGTATTTTTCACTTAGTGGGATGTCAGGGTAGATGTCAAGTCTAAAAGGACAGTTAGTGATGAGGCCATTGGATCAAGCTGACCCAGTTGTTCACTATATTAGCCAACACAGTCTTGTTTTTATAAGTGTCAGTAATACAATAATTGTCAAGAGGAGAAAATCGCCGACAAAATTGCTAGAAATGTGAACCTAACCCGAGGTCAGGCTCTATTTTACAAATATGGCCTGACACAAACCTTAATCCAATAGCTTTCCACCCACAGTAAAGTTTATTTAATATCCAATCAAAATGTTGCAGGAGAAATTTAAATTTCACACAACGACATATTAACAATCTATTTATAGTTGTGATTACTATAAAACATATCATCTTCGAGTTGGAAAGCTTTACAGTGCGTCTACAGTAAGTGGGGCCACTTAGAGAACACTAACCAATCATATTGCAGAACAAAAATTGAAAAAATCAACAAACGGCGCATTAGCCAATCAGCATTAGGCCAAAACCAATTTGAACAAATAAACGAATGATATTTGTGATGTTACTCTGAGTGTATATCCACACCGGGCGAGCTTGAAAAATATGCCCGGCCACGGCGGGATTCGAACCTACGACCTTTGGAATACTAGCCCAATGCTCATCCAACTGAGCTACGTGGTCAGGACGGTTCGAGTAAGTGATATTTCAGAACAGAATCTAGTTCCTTCGATACCAATGTATTCTAGTAATATGATTTTTTTTGTGTTGGTGTTGTGTACTCAGGTGAATATGATATTTGTGATGTTACTCTGAGTGTACATCATTCACAAATATCATATTCACCTGAGTACACAACACCAACACACACAAAAAAATAAACGAATGTCAAACGGTAAAAATAGACTTTGAATCTTTCTTTTGATTGGATGAGCTTTTATAGTTTGATTACATTTTTCTTTTTGTTCTGCAATGCAATTGGTTAGTGTTCTCTATATATAAGTGGCCCCACTTACTGCAGTGGACGCACTGTAAACGGAGGAGTACCGCCAGGAACTGTTTTGGGTCCTGTCTCTTTTTTTGGTTATGATAAACGATCTTCTCGATGAATGGCCCGACCGATGGAAGTACGTAGATGATACTACGACTACTGAAAGAGTCATGGTGGATTGTAGCAGTAATCTCCAGCAGTGCCGGATTAACCATATGGCAGAAGCGGCGTATGCCACGGGCCCCGCACTTTTGGGGGCCCCGCGCTTACTCTCTCCTATTTTTTCCCCAATTTTTTTGTTCCATTTTTCAGTTAGAGACCCAAACAGTGCGCCAGTGCGGGGCCCTAAAGAGCCCAAGTCCCCCAGAAAACGCGAGGGCCCCAAAATTTAAAAAGCGAGGCTCCATCAAGCTGGACCCAAACGTGTTTTTTTTGTCCCTGTTTCAGCGCGGGGCCCCAAACAGCCCAAGGTCATCAGAAAACGTCAGGCCCCAAAATTTAAAAATCGAGGTCTCAAATAGCCGGGATCGAAACGGTTTTTTTGTTTCCAGTTTCAGCGCAGGATCCAAACAGCGCGGGGCCCCAAAGAGTCCAAGGCCCCTAAAAGCGAAGCCCCCAAATAGAAAAACACGAGGCACCAAAGTTTAAAAAGCGAGGCTCCAAAAGCAGGGCCGCAAACAATTTTTTTTGTTCCTTCTTTGGGCAAGGGGCTCCATACAGCGAGGCCAAAAAAATCACATTAAATACCAAAAGATTGCTGAATTTTGTGGAAGACGGCAGAAGTTCATATGGACGGTATCATGTTTAGCTATTTTTCCCCTGTAAGTAATAATAATGTTAAAGGTATAAACTGGGTTGAAATTTAGTGTCTAAAATGCCGTTGGAAGTGGGTGGGGGGTCAAGGGTCCCCGCGCTGATAATGCAACGGGCCCCGCGGAACGTTAATCCGGCCCTGATCTCCAGGATCTCGGCGATTATATTTATAATTGGACTGTTACAAATAATATGAAACTTAATGTCACTAAATGCAAAGAAATGATCCTTGACTTTGGTAGGGTAAAACAGAATTTCCCACCATTATTAATCGATAACACTGAGGTTGAACATGTAAATTCTGCCCGAATTCTCTGCGTTACGATCCAAACCAATATGAATTGGAATGAACATGTTAATAAAATTGTTAAGAAATCTGAGAAAAGATTGTATATGCTTAGGCTATTGAAACGAGCCAACGCTGACACAAGAATGTTATCCACCGCATTTACCACTATTATAAGGCCAGTCTTAGTATACGCTTGCCAAGTTTGGCATTTCAACATATTCCAGGTTATTTGAGTGATAATATTGAAAGGGTTCAAAGAAGAGCTTTGAGAATTATTAGTTACAACAATGCACGAGATATTCCATCCTTGAAGGAACGACGTGAGATTTTATGTGGACAATTCTTTTTGAGAGATGAGAACCTAGTCCAAAAATTGGATGAATTTTTACCTAATAAATCCTCCTCGGCTTATGATACGAGGGGAAATTGTAAATATAATAATTATTATTGTAAAACAGAACGGTTTAGAAAATCCTTCCTACCACAAATTATTTCGAAACTAAATTGTAAATAGTATGTTTGCGATGTTAATACTGTAAATAGTAGTTTATTCCTTTATATATATTTATTTGTAGTACTTATATAGCTGATGTAATTTTACCTTTGGTTACAAAATCAGTAAATATATTAATAATAATAATATAAATTTAAATCAACAATAGTATAATCTAATTAGCACCAGCCAATGAAATGACAGATTAAAAAATCTTTTGTCTCATAGACCAATCAGAATTACAACCGAAATACGGTTGTAAGGCATGGACTTTTGTTAAGGTTTGTATCAGGCCTATTTATTTATTTATAGGCCTGATCGCAGGTTAGTGTGAACCAGGCTTAAGGATAATTTATTTATAGGCCTGATCGCAGGTTAGTGTGAACCAGGCTTAAGGATCATTTATTTATAGGCCTGATCGCAGGTTAGTGTGAACCAGGCTTAAGGATCACAACAATATCAATTGACTAATTGCCAGGATCAATGATTTATTGACTGGATTTCCAATTATCAATTTTTATTAATTTGAATGGTATGCCAGGTGCTACCTGTTATGTAAGCATCACAGTTATGTTAATCGTTCCAGAAAAGATCCACACTCCCCCCGCAGAGGAAATTTCTGCCGTCCGGAGGGGGGAGGGGAGAAAAAATCGTTTCTGATAATAGTAAATGTATTAGGACATCCGAAGGGGGTAGGGGGTTAACTTCCAATTTCCTCTGTGGGGGTGGTATGGATATTTTCTGGAATGACCCAATGCTGAATAAAGTGGAAAATACAATGAACAATATCCTGGCGTACTTAATCGATGAAAACCGATCATCGGAAATCCAATCGATGGCAATCAATATTAATTTCTTAATTGATATCAATTGACATTGGTCAATCGATGACCAATCAAAATACTCACAAGTTATGACCAATTTTATCGAATATTATCAATTTTCATCGATTGTTATCGGCAAGTGTATTGCTTGCAAAAGTAAATCTGTTCCCATTTTTCGAAGGCATGTGCACATGTATTTATCTGTATAGCCATATATTAACAACTTAATTTAATCCATTGTTACTGAATTTGGTTGACATTTGTTTTGTTATGACATTAAAGATGCGATACAGTCCGATCTGCACATGTGCACAAAGGAGCCCTCTTTTTATTTTCATGCGTAATCGTTCTTGTGTGACACAACTCCTGCCTGTTCTCCACTCTATTGGTAAATCTCTCGACCGGAACACTCAAACTGATATGCTTTATTTTGATTTCGCTAAGGCGTTTGATTCTGTAGACCACGCCATTCTTATCCAGAAACTTAAATGGTATGGCGTAACGGGTCAACTCCTTAACTGGTTTAAGGACTATCTCAACCATAGATATCAGAGAGTTGTGATAGACGGTGTTGCCTCTCAGTACCTACAAGTCACCTCTGGTGTGCCCCAAGGAAGCCTTGTTGGACCTCTGCTGTTTGTCATCTTTATTAATGACTTACCTGACTCTATCCAGGAACAGACGAGTTCAGCTCTCTATGCAGATGCACAAAATTATACCGCTCTATTTCGTCCCAAAGTGACTGTGAGAACTTGCAACGTGACATATCGAACCTAAATACTTGGAGTCATAACTCCAATATGAAGTTTAATGCCTCCAAGTGTAAGGTATTAACGGTCACTTGGAAGAAATCGCCTGTACTTACGGAGTACTACCTGGACAATGCCATTTTACAACGTGTTCAACAGGAAAACAACCTAGGAGTTATCGTCAATAGCAAGCTATCTTGGGACACTCACATCTCCTCAATCGTCAGCAAAGCTAACAGGATGCTCGGTCTCCTGAAGAGAACATGTCCTCTCATCACAGACACCAAAGTTAGACGAACACTTTATCTAGCCTTGGTAAAGTCGCAGCTGTGCTACGCAACTGAGGTTTGGTCACCTTCAAACGCAAAGTTGCAGATTCTCTTAGAACGAGTACAGAGACGGGCAACTCGATGGATTCTTAGAACTAAAGTTGGTGAGCTGTCATATGAAGACAGGCTGAAATCTCTAAACCTATTGCCACTAACTTATGATCGAGAAATCAGAGATCTTGTGTTGGTTTATAAATGTATTTTTGGTCATACCGATTTAAACATTAATCAACTTTTAACCTTCGTAGAGCACAATCGATCTCGCGCACAAAATCCAGCCCTAATGTTAAAACACTCCTGCTGCAAAACATCCACCTTTCAGGCATCGTTTTTTAATAGAATAGTAAAGCCTTGGAACTATATATGTAAAATAGCCTCTCCAGAAAAGTTTCCCAATGTAAATATTTTTAAAAGCTTTTTGCACAAGACATACACCGCCATGGTGAACAGTACTTTTAATGTAGATATGACATGTACTTGGTCGCTCATAAGAGACTGCCCTTGTCACCGTACTTAAGTCCTAAGTTATATATGTATATATTCTGTATAGTAAATAAGTTTGTTTTCACTAGTTTAGTTTAGGGGTGGCGCCCTGCATGGGTCTCGTTGTCCCGTTTGCGCTAGCCCCATTGGACGTATACCCTGTAATTTTCTTTGTTTGTATAATAATATGTAACCTAGATAAGATAAGATAACTTTATTTTAGCAGGGTGGCCCATTCAGCACTAGGCTGGTATCCATAGGGGCCCTGCGTATATAAATATATCTATTTACACAATAAGAAAATATAATAAACTAAACTAGTAATAGTACATATATAAATGTATAATTATAAAAACCTAATTGTACAATGAGTATTAGTTATTAAAAACTGTGTCTTTGTATAAGAGACTTGAAATTAGACAAGGTCCCTGCCTTTTTAATTCGATCTGGAAGATTGTTATAAAGCAGTGATCCCGAGTATATAAAGATCTCTTGCCCAGACTAAGATTTGGTTTAGGTAAGTGCAAATCATCTTTCCTTCTAGTATTATAAGAATGAATATTTGAATTCCTTACAAAATATCCACTTAAATATTTTGGGACTAAATTGTTCAAACATTTAAATACTAAAACACGCTTGTGAATTTGTCTACGAGTAGATAAATCTACCCAATTTAAAATGTCAAGCGTATTTCTGGAGCTTTCTCGTTGTAATATTATTCGTGCTGCACGGTTTTGCAGTTTTTGGAGGCTTTGAGAACACCCAGCAGGCAGCTCGAACCATACAGCATCAGTGTAGTCAAAAATAGGTTGCACCACTGAATTGTAAACGCATTTAGATGCCTCAATTGTCAAGCAAGACCGTATTCGCGAAAGTAGACCTAATCGCTTGCTCACTTTGTTGCAGATCTCTTCCGTATGTTCTTTCCATGATATTTGTTTATCTAGCATTACGCCTAAGTAACTAAACTTTGGCACTCTTTCAACTAGTTTGCCTTGAAGTTGGATGGTAAAGTCTCCGAAACGACCAAGTTTTTGTTTTGTTCCAAAAAGCATAACCTTAGTTTTGCTGTAATTTAAAACAAGTCTACTAGACGTCATCCATTGTGCAACACGACCTAAATCATTTTGAAGGGTTTCCATTATCTCATTGGTATCAGAACCAGAAAAATAAATTATTGTGTCATCGGCGTACATACTGATTGAACAGCTTAATAGACATTTTGGCAGGTCATTTATGCGTAAGACAAATAATAACGGTCCAAGCACAGATCCCTGGGGAACTACAAAATTCAACAATCGGCTAAGAGATAGTTCGTTTGCATAATTTACTCTTTGTGTTCGGTTTGTGAGGTAATTCCGAAACCAGCTAGTCCAGCTCATGGTCTGACCTCTAATTCCATAGTGTTCTAACTTGTAAAAAAGGCATTCATGATCGACAAGATCAAACGCCTTTTTGAGATCAACAAACACTGCACCTGTCACTTGCGGCTTATCCATATGTTGCAATATATAGTCAACAACATGGATAACAGCAGTTTCAGTGGAATGATTCTTACGGAACCCTGATTGATGTACTGATAAGACGTTATTCTCTGTAAGAAATGCCACAAGCTGGGTTTGGATTGAACGTCCCATTATCTTGGAGATCAAAAGGAGAACTGAGATAGGTCAAAAATTGTTCTCTTCATTTCTTTTGCCCGATTTAAAAACGGGTATAACCTTTGCCTCCTTTCATTCCAAAGGAATTTCTCCGCTTCTGATTGTCAAGTTGATAAGATGCGCAATTGGCTTGGCAATCACACTGTGGTACGAACACTTATTATATACACGCACGCGCAGAAACACATCTCCGTGTTCATTCGTTTTAAGCATGCGCATAAACGGAATTTTCTCACACAATTGTAATGTTCAAGATTAGGGAATAAAAGCTGGCAAAGTGATTGTTCGAATGTGTACGGGACGGTGTCGTCAGATACTGTCCATAGTTGTGCCGATGATTTTCGATGAGGTACAGCTCTCCAATCAGAGGTACTGAGGTACGCTTTTGTCTTCTAAATTTCCCTCATCAAGCATGCAGGGGAAAATTAAAAGACAAAGAAATCCTTTGTTTACAAC